CCCCTCCCCTCCCCTCCCCTCCCCTCCTCTCCTCCCTTCTCTTCCCCTCTCTTTATAGCCAAGGATGATCTTGAATTTCTGATCCTCTTGCCTCCACCTCCACTGTTGGGGTTCCACGAACGCTTGTTTATGCCTGAGTCTGTGTGGCGTGTGGGACTGGAGCCAGGGCTTTGAGCATGCCGGGCAAGCACTACAGCAAGGGAGCCGCACTGCCAGCAGTAACTCTCATCCTCAACTGGAACAAGACCTCGGCCTTCAAGATTTGAGGAAGCAGCTCAGCAAAGGGCTGTGGTAGGAAGAGCAACCCCACCCTGGTTTTACAGGAGTTTCTGAAAAATCTACAGGCAATGTACTGTGCTTTTTAAAGATTAATAGGAGTTTACTTTCCATGTTGCTTAGGGTGGAATCAGGCATTCCTCCGTTTGTTCTCCTACTGGATGTTACATAGGGGACCCATCCCAGCACTAGCCATGTTTACATCTGCGTCTGAGCACATACATAGGAGACGTGCCATTATAAGGGAGGCACAGTAACCTTACCATCCTTCTAAATTGCTTGGTTAGGCTGCAAATGAAACTGGCACAAACAAGATTAGCAGAAGAACTACCTAGGTTGGCTCCAAACTCCCGTGTTCAACAGATTCTCCTTGACTCTGCCAAGAGCAGGTAGGTCTACAAGTGTTTGCCATTCTGCCTGTTCTAAGAGAGCAAGGTTAGTTGTAGATGTATGCACGGGAGTCCCACAGAATGAAACTGCAAGGCCAGGTGATTGAAGCTCATGACACACAGAAAGGAACAAGAATTTCAAGTTTTAGTAGGTAGTGGGGACAAATTAATTATGGTAAGCTGAGGGAAGGGAAAAAGATAGCCTCCCCAACAGTAATATTGTCTACAATTGCTAAGTTGCTTTCCTGATGCAGATACTTTATAAAATTTCTCTTTAACATTCTCTTTACAAAAAATGTTCCCTTATATTTTATTTTGGGTAGTGGAAGGGAGCCGAAACTCGTGTGTTGGATGGATCTCAATTTCTTTTAGTTTAAAAATAATCAACATGCAGAGGCACACATTTTTAGCGTGGCAGTTCACATTTTGAGGTGATGTGTCCTGAGCCCCAGACACCATAAACGAAGCAATGTTATGATTAAGATAACTTTCTTAGACCTCCTAGGTGAGCCTCACTATTATGCACAGACTGTAAAAACGCTTTACAACCCAGCAAAAAATGATTGTTTTTCAAACGCTGCATTTTCCAATCTTCCAGGCACTTTAATTGTTCTCAGACAGATGGTTAAAGCTCTACTACCGCACCCGCATATGCTAGGATAAAACCCGACTAGAGCGCCAAGAAAAAGATGATTGGCTGTGGGCCCTGAGAAGTTACACGGTTCCCCCTAGCAAGAGCTGGGAAACTGCTGAATGTTCAGGTTTTGAAATACGGTTTTTGCATCGTAGAGAAAAAAAATTAACCTATCAGGAAGAACCGAGCACAGTCAATTACCAATCAAGAGCGGGAAAGGAGCCAAAGCCGTAGATACCTACGCACCACAGAGGACGTCATTCTTCAGCCTCTGCCAATAAGCCGCGGCAAGGGGCGGGGCAACAGGAGGATCGATTGCCCAAGAAAACAAACAATGTGTAGTACAACTGTCTAAACCCCAGCCCTCGGCTCCGGATGCCCTGGAATGAGCTCCCGAGCAAGGCGCTCGTGAGGTGCTCCCGGCTTTCTTCGCCCAGGGGAGTCGGGGCCGGTTGTCTCCTTCCCAGCAGAGCAAAGGCCTCCCTCCCAACAGCTCCCACGGGCTTCCATAAAGCCCGCTGTAACTTCGCGCTATAGTTTACAGGAACAGCGAGTCGCCGGCTACCTGAGGGGGTGGGGCGGCGGCTGTGCGCAGGCGTTCTTGCCTGGTGGAGGCGTGGCCGAAACGGCCCGAAGAACCCTGGGAACTGTATTCCTCGCGTCCGAGAAACTGGTGCAGCTCCCGAGGTCTCTTGAACTAAATTTCCCAGGATGCCTCGCGACCTCGGGGCGGGCCGTTTGGTTTGTTAATGAGTTCGAGAAAGCCGCGGCGCGGCCCACCAGGTTCCAAAACAAGGAAATGAAGGGGGGAGGCGGGACTGTGGGTGCCTGCGGGAGCCTCCGCCGCCACCGCGGAGGAGGAGGAGGCGGAGGAGGTGGCTGCCTCGGCCGCCGAGGAGTCCCTTGCTGAAGGCAGACCGCGGAGCGGCGGGCGGCGCGCGCGCGCCCGAGCGGCGGCTGTTGGAGAAGTGGAGCGGCGGCGGCGGAGGGACTGAGTGGCGGCGGCCCCCGCGTCCCGGTTTCTCTATGGGGGAAGCAGACAATGGATTATGATTTCAAGGCGAAGCTGGCGGCGGAGCGGGAGCGGGTGGAGGATCTGTTTGAGTACGAAGGGTGCAAAGTGGGACGCGGCACCTACGGGCATGTCTACAAGGCGAGGCGGAAAGATGGGTAAGAGCGCGGGCGGGGGAGTGGGCTCGCCCGGTCCCCGCCGCTGCGGCGATCCGGAGGGCTGGGTGGGTCGGAGCCCACGGGGCGAGGCGGCGTGGGTCGGGAAGCGGCGTCCCGGGGCCGACTCGGGGACACTTGTACTGCCGCCCCCCGCTGGCCGGTCGCGCCCCTCGAAGTCGTACAGCGCAGCCCCGTCGGGGGCGTCGGTCCCGCCGCGACTCGCCGCCGCTGCGTGCTTATAGCGGGCGACGGGACCCGGTGGAGACCGCGCCTGGAGGTGGAGTTGAGAGGTCTGGTCCCGGGGGACTCGCAGAGGTCTGGGAGGGCTTGACTAAAGAGTTACCGCTATGGCCCTGTGCTGGTGACGGTCGTAGTGGAACTTCCAATCGGCGCAGCGCCTTCCCGGGGCGGCTGTTTGAATGCTCGCGGGGGCGCCGCCCGTCTGGTGGCGGCGCGCTTGGTTCCTAGCAGGCCCTTGGGGGTCTGACTCCCTGGGCGCTGTCAACCTAGCCAGCATCCCTGTGACTTACCTGCGGACTTCCTGACACTGACAGCTCACCTGCTTCCGATTCCACGTCCTAATGTCCTGAACTCAGCAGTCTGAAGATGAAGAGATAACTGATGACTACAGGCGTTTGGTGTGTGCCTGCCTTTCCTGCTTTCCTGCCTCATGGCTATCTTAGGCATTCCCCCACCCCGCTTTAAGACAAGGTCTCTCTGTGCACTCCTGGCTGGCCTGGAACTCGGAGATCCTCCTGCCTCTGCCTCTCAAGTACTGTGATTAAAGGCATGCTCCACCACATCCGCCCCCCCCTTTTTTTCTTCAAGAAGAAATCTTGAGTATTGTATCCTCCTGTCAAATGACTGTGAGCTTTGGTAGTGTATATCGAGAACCTAGACCATCAAGAACAGAAAACTGAGTCACAGACTCGGACCTGAACCACAGATTCTTAGGAGTTGAGGGAAACTATAGGAATCTCTTGGGAAGCATTTATGGATTGTTTTATTAGTAAAAGACAAACTTGAGAATGTATTGCGATGTCTTCTTCAGGCCAGAGCAGGACGGGTAGCACCTGCTTCTGGCGTACAAATGGTGGGTTTAAAGCCAGTTTTCTCCTTGGTTCCATCTCGGAAGAAATTCCTTTTCCCTGGGTTCTGTAACTGGGAGAGACAGTCTCCTACGCTAAGAACTGTCAGACTATACAAAAGAGAGTTTTTAGGATCGTAGTGGAGCATTTTGAAAAGCAGATTGTCACCACAACCTTAGATTTGAAGTGCTAATTAGGGTGCCTTTACACTCCTGTAATTTGATTGGTTGGGTAAAGAACTCTAGCATCAAAGTAGGCAGTGTACATGCTAATTTTATAAGAGAAAAAAAGCATAAGCGTATGAAGTGTTTCATATACAGTGCTCTGAAGATTAGAAGTACTGTCCAGGTTTCCATGATGATTACTGTTGCAGGTACAACCGTGCAAGCCGAGCTACTTGAGTTGTTTCTTTTAATTACCATGTGTCCTTGAGTGCTCGCCAGGAGCTGTAGGGTACTATAATTGACTTGTACTTTGTCTTTGGAGTTCCCACTCTAATGGTTAAATTGGTATTCCAGTGGGAATCCTCCCTGGGATGTTTGAGAAAAGCAAACCCAGTGCTACTGTTTGGACATTGTTACAAAATAGTTGAAGTGGATCTCCCCTCCCTTCCACGCTAACTTAGTAATACACTTCATCTAGAATTAAAAAAGTTTTAATTTAAAATATTTTTATTTTTGCCTGGAAACTTTGAGAAAATTTAAAAATATTCTGATTTTGAATTTCATTGAATGACGGAACTTTCAACAAAACCCATTGCCCGCCTGCTTCTACGTGTTTTCCATTATGTCTCTCTAACAAAGATCTTGACTTAAATACACTTTTTCCTTGAGTAAAATTGATAAATCAGATAAATAAAATAAGGTCAGTTGTATGTTCAAGGTAGAATTTAAAAACAGCAGCAACAACAATAACAAATGATTTATAGGCAGAGGCAGGCAAATCTCTTTGAGTTTGAGGCCAACTAGGTCTACAGGTCGCGTTTCAGGGTTACACAGAGAAAGTCTGTCTTGAGAGACAAAACAAAATAAAAAACCCTCAAACCAAAGAACCCCCTAACCCCAAAACCAAAAAATTCCTACTTAGAAATACTAGTTCAGACCACTGTATCACATGTAAAACAAACTGTGATAGGTTTTATTTATCTTATTTTTCTTGGATCGAGTGTTGGTCTAGATTCCTGGATTTACACTGAACACCCAAATCTCTTGTTGTGGGCTGCTGGTGGGATTAGTTTTATGTTCATTACTAACCAGCAGTTTGAAAGAACAGAAGGTTTTGGTGATGGTTCTCAACAGTGGTGCAGATTTGCATAGTAAAAGATTTTACCCTCTGATCATTGTGAAGTACTGTTCACCTCTTTTCAGGTTTGATTTTGGTAAACTCTGGGAAAAACAGTGATGCTTGATGCTATCGTAGGGAGCAAGGGAGATGTGGGCCTGCTCGAGAGAAATGGCTCCAGCATATATAGCACTCTCTATGGTCATATCCACACACTAACATATATCAACAAAAAATGGTTAGGTCTTTAGAATAATGGAAGACATAACCCTCAGTAGAAAAACCTTTGCTTAAGCTTTAGTGATAGCTTACACACAGTCCTTCAAAGTGAGATTTTTAATATAGGCTGTATCATGCAGTGTAAATTTATAGCAGGCTAGAAATGCAAGATGTGTCTGGTTTTTTAATATTTAATTGGTGCATAAAGATTTACATACTTGTGTGGTACTAGATGATGTTTTGATCCATATATACATTGTATACTGATTAAATCAGGGTAAAGGTGTCTCCTTGAATATTTAATGTGTCAAAAACACTCAAAATTCTTGTTTCTAGCTTACTTGATCATGTTGGATATCATAATTATATGCAGTTTCTTTGCTGTACAACATGGCACCAGGGTTTATTTCCTCCAAGGTTTTTTTTCCCTTTAATAAAGTTTTTGCTCACTAATTTTTTTTTTGTTTGTTTAGAAGGAAAAATTGATTCCCTTTAACAAAAACAATCAGACTTGGGCCCTCAAGATGGCACGTCAGGTAGAAGGACCTGTTGCCAAGCATGGGGCCAAAGTTGGCTCATGGGGATGCACATGGAGGAAGGAGAGACCCATTTCCACAAAGTTGTCCTCTGACCCCTTTGGCTGTGGCATGTGGGCGCCCTCTCCCCTCAGGCATTCAAAGTAAATAAGTGACTAATAAAATAAAATCAGGTTTACCTAAAATTCACTTATTAGAAATATTTTGTGTGGACTGTGGCATCCATCTGGAGGTCAGGAGACAGCTCACTGCTTCTCATCTATCTTTATCTAGTTCTGGGGCTGAATTCAAGTTGTGCTCCTGGCATTATATTATTCACCTGCTGAACCATCTTGTTGGCCCAAATTTATTTTTGCTGGGGATAAATCTAGGGCCTTGAGACTACTAAGCGTTCAGTCTGCTCTGAGCTATGCTTCCAGCTCCAGGATATTTTAGATTTTTTTAGTCTGAGTGAGAAGTCATGCAGTTTTTCTTTATTAGTAGAAAGTTCTAGGCTGTGGTGGGGATGTAACTGAACTGGCAGAGTGCTTGCCTAGCACCCCGAAGGCTCTGGGTTGTACACCACGTAAACTGGTCTTGTAATCCCAACTCCTAAGCCTGTGGAGCCAGGAGGATCACAAGTTCAAGACCATACTTGGCTATATATGTCTCAAAAACCAAAACAAAACTGAACATAAAAATTTACAGTGACAAGCCTGAAGTCAATACTTTTCTAGTTAGGAACACTTTTAATAAAAGGATATTGTTAAAATGTCTTTTCATTAAAAGGGCCAGAAAAACCCGATGCCACAGCGTAGAGTTCTGTATGAACACTTGGCCTAATGTGGGTTGCATTTCCAAGACTAAAAACAAAGTTTTTTGATTCATGTTTTTGAAAGGTACTTAATTCAGTGGTTCTCAGCCTTCCTAATGGTGCAGCCCTTTAATACAGTTCTTCATGTCGTGGTGTCCCCCAGCCATAAAGTTATTTTCATTGCTGCTTCATAACTGTAATTTTGCTACTGTTATGAATTGTAATGTAAATATCTGATATGCAGGATGTCTGATATGTGACCCCTGTGAAAGGGGTCGCAGCTCATTGGTTGAAAACCTCTGGTAATTAAAAATGAAATGGCTGCCAGGGCTCTTAAGGAATTTGAGTTCTTTTCCTCCGTGAGTTGGAGCCAGCCTGATCTACACAGTGAGTTCCAGGCCAGTCCTTCACAAGTAGATGTAAGTACTTGTGGGTATACACGGGCAAATAGCAGGTGCAGCCGCATCTGCCTATTTTGAGTGACGTTTTCACAGTTGCTTGGTAGATGAGCATGTGTGCCTTTTTATTGGTGGCTTCTGGAGGCTGAAGAATGGTTAGCTCTGTGATAGTGTTTTCCAACTGTCAAGAACTTTAGACCATCTAGTCTGACTCCCCTTTTTTGCACATGGGAAACTCAGAGCTCTGAGAGGTTGTTGAGCCCTAAGTCACACAGCACTTAGGAAGCCTGCGGTCTAGATAGGAATTCTTGTATTTTGTGGTACATTTTCCTTCCTAATGAGAAGCAAGCCAAAAAAGCCAGTTTGCCTCTAGCTTTGGTAATTTTATTCTGAGCACTCCTTTCATGAAAAAAAAAAGTACCCATACCAGAAATACGGAAAAAATGACATGAAAAGGGCATTTATAAAAGGAGTGCAGAGGAGGAGGAGGCAGCATTCAGGGTAAAGCTCGGCGCTTGCACAAGACTCCAGATTCAATCCCCAGCGCAAGGCAAACAACAGAAGAGACTGTGTGCCTAGCTGCTTCTGCTGTCGCTGCTGTAGGCCATTATTTGCTGTGTGCGGCAGTGGGATTGGGGTCTGCCTTCAGTCTTTTCTCACTCTGGACCACGATCCAGGTCGCTGC